GTTCACCTGATTTGGATGTGAATACCCTCAAATTAAACATGACAGTCTGCAGTTAAAGCACATCTTGTTCGTTTCATTTCAAATCCATTGTGGTGGTGTATAGATCCAAAAATGTTAGAATTGTGTCGATGTCCCAATATTTATGGACCTGACTGTATATCTCGGTTTTTGCTTTCATTAGAAAGACTGGTTTTCCTTTTGTCATTCCTCCTTGTGGCTCAGACAGATTCAAGCTCATGGTCTCAAGGATCATCATGCCAACTCTCCTGTTATCACAGATCTAGCTATGCAAGTGTTTTTAGCATTCTGGTGACTGTTCAAGCCACCATAGACATGTTCTTCAGGCAGCTTCCTTATGGGCTTATGGGTTTTTTTTTTTCCTGGGCCTGTTAGTGTTCTATTGCCCACCTTGCATTTAGACTGCTTTTAGACATCCCAACGGTTACATAGTTGAAAAGGTTGAATATAGACAGCAGTTCAACCTCTGTGAGGGTATGTGTTCATGTCAAAAATCATATCCCTGTATATATCCCTGTATACCAGTGGTTCTCAACCTGGGGGTCGAACGACCCTTTCACAGGGGTCCCCCTAAGACCATCAGAAAACACATATTTCCGATGTGTAAAGAGCAGCTACTGTGTAGAAAGCAGCTGCTGTGTTGAAAGCAGCTACTCTGTTAAAAGCAGCTTCTGTGTTGAAAGCAGCAGTATTGGAGGTAAAAACCCACACTGAATTCTAATTACTGGGTAAAAATTTTTATGGTTGGGGGTCACCACAACATGAGGAACTGTATTAAAGGGTGCAGCATTAGGAAGGTTGAGAACCACTGCTGTATACAGTGCTCACTAAGATACCCATCCAAGAGGTTTTGAAACTATCAATGCTTCCCACTGACACCAATTGTGGAAGCAAGTTCCACATCCTTACCACCCTAACAGAGAAAGACCCCATACGAATTTTAAGGTTAAACCATTTTTCCTCCAATTTCATTGAGTGGCCCGTGTCTTATACTCCCCAAGACTGAATAGTATATTCCCTATGCTAAAATAACCATTAAGATATTTGTATATCACTATCATCTCCTCTCAAGCATCTCTTCTTTAGGGAGAATAAGTTTAAATGGTTGTAGGTCCACCAATCCCTTTATTAAACTTTGTTGCCCTTCTCTAGACACTCTGCAGTTCCACCACATCCTTCCTAAGGACTGGTGAACAGGACTAGACTGCTTACTCCAGCTGTAGCCAAACCAGAGTTTTATAAAGTAGCAGGATTATAGTTTTATCTTTTGTGTAAAAACCTTTTTTTGCATGCCAATAATCTACTAGATTGCTGTAGCTTGGCATTGCATGCCATTATAGTGTGTCATCTACTAGGACCCCCAGATCTTTCTGTTCTTGATTTCCCCAGAGTATCTCCCCGTAGCGAATAAGTTGCATTCACATTTTTAGCCCCCAAGTGCATTACTTTAAATTTTTCAACACTAAACCTTGTTTGCCATGGAGTTGCCCACCCTTTACAAAAGGCCAAGATCTTCTTGTAAAGTTTTTATATCCTGTTGTGAAATTACTGCCCTTCTTACCTTTGTAAAGTCAGCAAACACTGAGATTGAGCTATTTATACCAACCTCTATATTTATGAATTTAACAGAATTGATCCCTGGACAGAGGATTAGGGTACCCCACTTTCCACTCTGAGTACAAGTTATTTGTCACCACCCTTTGAACGCAACCCTGTAACCAGTTTTCCATCCATGAACAAACCCTATGCTCAATGCCTACAGACCTCAGTTTGTAAATTAAGCATTTATAGGGGACTGTATCAAATGCTTTTGCAAAATCCAGCTACACCACCATCCATGGGCCTTCCTTTATCTAGATGGCAGCTTACTTAAAATGTTAACATATTGGTTTGGCAAGAACAACCTTTCAGAAATCCATGCTGATTACTAATACCATTTTCATCAGCAAATTCTTGGATATAGTCCCCTATATTCTCCTCCAATAGTTTACATACTATCAATGTTAGACTGATTGGCTTGTCGTTTTCTAGGAATATATCTTTGGCCTCAACAGTATGAATTTCTGTGTCCCCAAAAAATTCTAAACAAAATTGGATTTTTATACTTCCTGTAATATCCATTTGTTGTGGTTAATTAAGTTACACCCATCTGTGTCTATGGGCATGCTCTTGGTACTTCTTTTCCACAAAAGGAATGGCGGGAGTAGGAAGGGATTTAATGTCCTGGCACTTTTTTTTTGTACCAGTGTCCAAATCCTTCTGTAGGCAGCAGTCGATTGATTTATGTATCTCTCAACAAACTACAAGGAGTGAATTTTACACGAAGATCAAAAATCCAATTTTTCCATGTTAAATGTATGCTATGGTATAGTCCCAACACTAAACAGTATGTGCTTATTCTCATATAAGAGATCACACTACATCTTGTCACACTAATGCCATCTTTAATTATGCATGGGACACCCACAGTCATGTATATAAAAATATCAATTCAAAATGTGTATGTTCTTATTCTTCGCTTTTTATGGAGAGAAGACTGAGGAAATGCATCTCTTTAGCTAAAGCAAATGACAAAATACTTGTCCTCGAGGCTCTACTTAAGCCTAGGCACAGTCATTTAAATGGAGCTAAAAGAATTTTTTTAATGATAAAATATACAGTTAAAAAAAAAATTAACTTTTATAATAAAAAGGTATCTCTCTCTCAGTAAATCCCAGTTAGTTTTCATTTTAACCTTTTTATCAGACCACTCGTTACAATTTTGGCTCCTTTCATACCTGCAGCAGTGTTTATCATGCCCCTGTGGTGGATTACTTGTCAGGGAACAGTGAGAGGAGGTTTTCATGTGCTCAGAAGACAATACTGCCCCCTCCTTATGCCTTTTTTTACTGGCAAACAAGGATTTTGCACTATAGTGTGGTCTCTTTCACAGGAGAGTTTGACAGACAGTGGCACCTTTCGCAAATTTGGCATGTTGAGTTTAAATTGCTGCACCGCAATGCAAAGCGGTAACAAGTCTGCTTGTATCGGGGGCAGTTTATATAAATGTAGTTTCAGCAGTGCTGTTTTTGATTGTATGTTCATAGATCTGTATTTTCCTAGATTCATCTAGGCTTTAATCAATTTATTTTAAGTTTTAATGTTGTGTATAAAAAGTAGTGTATATACACATTTAAACACTGCTGCCATTGCTACATTTATATATGCTGTATTCAACTTTATACATTTTCATTCAGTGGCAGATTTTTTTTCATCACCTTTCAGATAAATGTTGCACTTTTAATGGTCCTATTTAAAGTTTGTGTAGCTAAAGCAGAAACATAATTTACAGTCAAATAGGATGTGTCCTTAGTGCAGATTCCTCTTCCCCCTGCCGCCATAATTTCCCAGTGCAGTGGGGTTTAATACAACTAAGGGGCTGAAACAGGCTCTCCCCAAGAGAGCCAGACTATGCCCACCCTTTCTGCTTAGCTCCTCCATTCATAGAAGCCGTACTACTAAGCTTGAATGAAAAAAAAAAATCTCTGAATGAAGGATAGGCGGATGATTGATAGATCCACCCACTCCAGAGATCCCATTTTATTTATAGACGCTGTAGTATAGCTTCTGTGCTGGTTCAGACTGATGTGAATTTCAATGCGGATTAGATGCAATCCAAAAAGCATAGATTCACATGTAATCTACAAAAGCATTATTTCCAATGCAGGCTGTTCACATATGTACAGTGCGAAATTTGATCTGGTCTAAAAAAGGGTCCTCTGAGCATTTAGTGCAGGTTTGGTGTGAATTTCTTCTCCTGCTATGCCCAGTCCCCTCAGAAAATCACATTTAATTAGCACCTGTCACAGCAGAAATCGCACTGATTTCACACCGCATCAGTGTGAACCGGCAATCTATGAATGGCACTGCTAGGCAGAAAGGGCAGGCATAATCAGGCTCTTGATGAGAGCCAGAGACAGCCCCTTTAGTTGTATTAACCCCCACTGCATCAGAAGATTAGTGTTAAAGTTTGAAGATGTAGATGATATGGCAATTGTCATCAGAAAGCTAAAATGACACTACTTTCTTTGCTGAAATTCCTGAAGTCAAGCGACAAGTCCCCCCAAAAGCTACCTTTTGGGGCTGGAATGTTGGTAGGTTGAACAAGCCAATCAATACTGTGCAATTTCCCTTTTCAATGTACAAGTACACTACAGCTCATTTATAAACAGAAGATCGATAAGCCTATGGGTTTGCCCATATTTACCAGATCTCCAGCTTATTTTCTAACCTGCCTTATATAACTCACAGCTTTAGGATTATACAGTATATGGAGATATTTGCATCTTTTTCCCATTAATAAACCATTCCTGATGTACCCAAAGAATACCATGTTCAAACACAGTGTCCATGTATGGTAACCCATAGTCATTTATCCAAGTAAATTTCATTAATGACTGGCCAGGTGGGCAATCCAGATAAAACTAATATTGTGAAGCAAGTCAAGTTATGTTCTCCAGGACCATCTGGTCAAGAGCCTGTGATGGACTTGTGGCAGTACTAAGAAATATGTACTTTAAGTATTATTTTTTTTTTTTCTTAAGTTCTCCTTTAAGCCTCACAGAACTGCACAAACATTGGCAGTACAAAATACAACTAATTGCTCTATGCTATTAATGAAGGGGCAGATTTGTGCTGTATTTGAGTCTACTTGCCAGGATCAAAAGATGTGGGGAAGACTTTTATTCTTGGTAACATCTGGCTTCACGATTTGCACATAAAGCTATTAATTCAGGGAGCAGATGCTTCAGAATGTTAGGGAGATAAGCCAGAAGACAGATGACCAGGAAATAAGTAAGGATGGATGAAACACAGTGATCTAGAGTCATAGCTAAGAACACCAGGTAGAGTGATTATGTGACAGTGAAAAAAAAAAAACGCAGAGAGTGAGCGTGTCAAAAACAAAACAGAAGCCAGGCCATGCAATAGGAGAAGGGTCTAACCTGGATGTTCTGAAAATGCACCAAGGACTTGCAGTGTGTGAGCCGGGCAGCAGAGTCACTAGGATAGAATTTGTGACACAGCCTGCAGAGATGACCCTCGACGGGGACCATATAATCCAGGCCTGTGAAACGGGAGGGCAAATCACAGAATGGATATCAAAAGGGAAACATAAAATAAAGAACAGAGAAGAAAGTATGTTACAGGAACCAGATAGGAGAAGATGAGAGGATGGATGGATGGATGGATGTTTCACGGACAACATAGAATACATAGGACTAAGAGTAGACTTTCCTACAGGTGTAGTGATCGGAGAAAAGAATCAGAGGGAAACAGACAGACAGTCATGGACAAACTCAATGCAACTGAAAAGCAGAAGGAAGAAAGCAATGCTGATGGCGTTTAGCCTCTCCTGACTATGGCACTTGGTGTGGACCTTCAATCCTGCCACGGTGGCACCCAAAAGAATAGCGACGCAGGGTGAGCAGTCCTTGGACTTACCATAGGCAGTGTCTGGATTGTATTCATCTTTCTCGCAGTCAGCACCCCTGTCCTCTCCCTGTACCTGCACAATAATGGTACATTATTACAACAATACTTTACCTTTTCTGAAAACTTCAGCTCAAATGTGTTTTTTTTTGTTTTGGATATAGCAGAGAAGAGTTAAAATATGTCAGACTTTTACTTCTGTACAGAAAGGAAAAACCACTTACATGATAAATCTTACTTAGGAAACTAGTAAAAAAGAAATAGGAAGTGATGTGCATTTGATTACTTGCACTTTGTGAATAACAAATGTGTAATAGGAAAACAGCAAAAAAAAAAAAAAAAAAAAAAAAAAAAAAAAAAAAGAAGGGTACACCATCAGCTGCAATTCCTTATGCCAGATACAAAAAGTGTGTGGCACTCATGGTTAAACAGAGGGGAGGCTACCATATTAGAGGTTGCCTCCGGTAATCCTTTTTTTTTCCCCCCTCTTACACAGGTACGGGTCTCGGTGCTCACTTCTGAATAGAACATCCAAGCAAAGAACTGAAGAGGTGCACAAGCACTCTTGGCATAAACACTATTAACAGCAAACAAAAAGCTATAGCATCCTGTCAGAAATATAAGTATTTAGCCTTTTGCTTACTGCTAATAAACTGCGCATAAAGCCGGACATAGATGGTTCCGCAGGGATCGGCCGAGATTCAAACCATCAATGGGAAGGCTGATTGTACCCAATTCAATTGCTGTATGACTTGGATACAACCAGCAAGTCAAAGTTTTAAAAGCGAGTGTCAGCGGCTATAGCCGCTAGCAGTAATCACTGTGTTCTCCCGGATTGGATGACTCCCCACGCCCCCCTCTGTCGGAAGAATAGCTCACTGTTGAACTGGCTAAATTTAGATCCATCTACAGCCAGCTTTATACAGAGGGTGTTCTTGGACATTACCTTTACATCATTGCAATTCTGTATGTGCCACAATTCTGTAGTACTTTTGTAGGCATAAACTATGTTAAGCAGAGCTTAACATAATCAAGATAAAAGGATCACCAATTTTGTCTTTGGTGAAGTGTATTTATATATGTTTTTACCTTTTCACTTTCTGCCTTAGTAGAGACCATGAGTCTTCTAATATAAACCCTGTTTTATCAGGAAATGCTTCACTTCCTGGCCAGCAAGGATATTGTGGCCAATGCTTGCAACAATTGAGTAGATTTTATTTTTTTTTCCCTGAGGAAAGGTATACTGTATTATTTGCAACACAATATACTCAATCTTATACCAATAGCCAATTCAGAGGAAGGAAAAAAAATAAATAAAAACCCCTATGAGCATGATCCAATTTGTTCCATAGGGGAAACATTTTCCTTCCTAATCCCCCATGAGGCAATTCGATATTTCCCAGATTAACTACCCCTGGTTTTATTACCTATAAATATTAGTATCCAGTTATATTTTGTACATTCAGGAATACAACAAGCTTTTTTTTTTTAGCTGGCCAGAACTAGTTTCTGAGGGAATCTATTTCACATTATCTTACTGGGAAGAAGCCTTTCCATATGTGGGAGGTTAAATCTTTTTTCCTCCAGATGCTGAACTGAAGTCTCTGACATAAAACAAGTATGCAGATAAGGAAAACAAAAAGGTTGAAGTATTCAAAAGTTAAACAAATCCCAGTAGTCAAGTTAGCCAATGACCCTAAACAATGTGCCTACACATTGCCATCAAAGAATATTCCCTAACATGGTTTGCTGGTTGTTAGATTGTGCTACTGTCTCCTGAAATACAACATGCATTTGTTGGGGAGCACTGAAAAAAAATAATAAAAATAAATAAATTTGCCTGCAGTTAAGTTTTGGTTCATACCCCTTTTCATACTACCCACATATCTGAAAGCTTAGGTATCTGGTCATATGATCCCTACTGAAAAGGGGGTCAATGTGAACTTATACTTTTTCCCCCACTGAGACCACATATCCCAATTTCTAGGCCTTCAGACATGTGGTCATCAATTAAAAATCTGGAGCAGCATTTTCTTCAGGTAAGGTATTGCAGCTCTTCTGCTATCCTTCACTTATCCAAGTAACAGCTCTGTGGAACTTAACTAAAATGTTAAGACAGCTGATGGCAAAAACAAACAAGTTTACCATTTATTACCATAAATTAACAATTCTATGCAAACCTGATTTTCACTACTGGCAAAAGGTCGCCGCATTTACAGCCAATTTCTATCATTCCAATCTCTACTAGGCAAGATCTCCTTACTGGACCTCTGGCCTGCCATCATGCCATGGCCATTACATTCACCTGTGAACATATTTATTTATTTTAGGTACCTATATAGCGCCATCAATTTACGCAGCGCTTTACATATATATTGTACATTCACATCAGTCCCTAACCCTCAAGGGGCGTACAGTCTAAGGTTCCTAACTCACAGTCATACATATACTAGGGCCAATTTAGACAGGAGCCAATTCACCTACCAGCAGGTCTTTGGAGTGTGGGAGGAAACGGGAGTACCCGGAGGAAACCCACGCAGGCACAGGGAGAACATGCAAACTCCAGGCTGGGGGTGCCGTGGCTGGGAATCGAACCAACGACCCTAGTACTGCCAGGCGGAACTGCTAAACATTTAGCCACTGTGCTGCCCATATTAGATGAATCCTCCACTGGCATGAATGGAAAATTGTGGGGACTACTCTGCTAGGCAATAGGCCCAACACAAATGACTGCAGTATGGGAATTGTAGCTATTGAAGCAAATGGGAAACACATGAAGCCTGTGTGCTATAATATACTGGACTCAATGGGGAAAATATCAGGTTTGGCTGCATTTGGCTAATAACAGTCTAAAGAATCTGTGCTCTCAATCTGTGAAATACGAACATTCGTCTTGCATCCAAAAGGCTTTTTTTATTTTACCATAAAGCTCTCTGGGTCCTCAGCAGTATCATCTGCACTAACCCCCTCTTCCTCCTCCTCCTCATCATCCTCTTCCTCAAAACAGCCCACTGCATCCACCGTGATCAAGTCCTCTGACTCTTCCATGTTCCATGGCTCCTTTTCACCAAGCTTGACCTGGAAAAGATTACGCAAGACAATGGATGTGACCTGGCAAATTCTTGCAGAGAAGGAAACCACAAGGAACAAGAATTATCAAACAGTACGTTATTAACCACTAAAACCTGGCAAACTGCTAAAGTCACAAAGTCAGCTCTGAAAGCTTTTTTGTTTTGTGTCCTCATTGCAGACAGATAAAAAGTTGACCTCAGAGTATATAACGGTCACATAACAAAATATACAAATACACACAAATAGTAGGTATACACTGCACAAAAAAAAAAAATTAATAAAAATTCCCACACACTACAGACTAACTATACATGCTAAAGTGAAGTACCCATATCCATTTTTCATGAGTCTTTATTCTGGTTGCATGACATCAAGGGTCATCTTCCGGTAGTGGGTGTAAAAATGTGGGCGGGTTGATGACTAACTCCCCTAGGAAGTTGGTCCTTGAAGACCTTGGATTAACGAAAGTGGATTGAACTCAAACTGTTAGAGGACAAGTGCTGTATTGCAGAGAAGAGAGTTGATATGGGATAGCATCCTGATTTTTATTGGTGTAGGAGACTGAATTTTTAACATTCCTTAAAGCGGTAGTAAACTTTTTTGAAAAAAAAAAAAGTTCCCCCCTGCAAGGTAATATAATGTGCTAGTATGCATTGTATACTAGCACATTATGTGAAACTTGCCTAAAAACAAAGCCCTCCAGTGGTGCGCTGTCACTGTTAACAGGGTTTCCGTCTTCACCCGTTCTTTCAGGATTCCCGGGGTACAGCAGCCTGAGCCGCCGATAATGTCAAACCTGCGCATGCGTGTGGGAGTTTCAGCCACGGCACATAGCTGACGGAACAGCACAGGTATACCGTTCCTTCAGAGCACATCTTCACCCGTTCTGATGTCACTGATTGCAGCTCTGTAGAACATTTCCTAAATGGTGCACGTTTAGGAGATATTCATTTTACCTACAGGTAAGCTTTATTATAAGCTTACCTGTAAGTAACAATATAAATGAGAGTTTACTACCACTTTAAGCTGGGGTTGGGCTTTTTGTTTGAAGCTAAATAAATCCTCCCTGCTCAAGTTACGGCTCTTTTTTCTGTATGCCCCCATCCTGCAACTCCTTCTGTATACCACCACCCTGCTTTCCTCTATGAATACTTCCATTCTGCTCTTCTTTGTATACCTCCAATCTTGCTCTACAGCAAGCTTGCAGTAGCAAAGGTGAGCTTTTCAGCTTCCTAACCCACCATCTCCCTCTTTACCTCCTGTGACTTCTGTTTATGCTCTGGTGATTTCATGTGCTCTACAAACTTGCGTGGAGTCTTGAAGTGTCGGCTGCACACTGTGCAGAATGGTCTTAGGGAGCGTTTTGCCATCTGAAAGGAAGGGCAGGGTGTCAGTAATATCCTGTATATCAATCACAAAAGGATTTCAAATAGCAGCACAGGTGAACCCTTCTACCAGGCTAGACCAGTGTGCTTCTGTTTTCTTTTCATGCATGCTGAAAGTCACATTATGGAGCATACAAACTATATCTGAAAGCACAAGACATTTAAAGCAAACCTGTGCTTTACCCATGCAAGTTCGTTGAAATGCCCCCCTCCTCACCAGCAGCACCTGCTCATTTTTTCTGCCCCCTCCCCCAGCTCCATTAATCTACCAGGAGTAAAAAGAATGCCCTGCCACATGAAGGGGAGGCAAGAGACCTCAGCCCTGGATACGTTCCAAATAGAGTAGCTCAGTAGTAGCAGAGGGTTCTTTCCGCTCTACCAATAACTAAATGGAGTGGCAGAGAAGCGAGGGAAAGTATATTCTGCTGGGGATTAAAAATTGGTTCTAAATAAACCGGCTTTGCCCCAATATGATTGAATTACAGATTTAACAGTGGAACAAATAATGTTTCTAGAGGCATAACTAGAACCTTCAGGACCCTGGTGCAAGAAACCATGAAGGGCACCCCTGACCCCACCCCCCTTCCCACTGAGCCCAGACACTTTACAACAGTCACGGTCCCTTTATTACCGTCCCACAGCAGGACCATTCCACATGTTCTGCAGCGGGCCCCCTTCCTGCCGTGCTGGGTACAGTTGGCACCTTTTCTTCAAGCCAAACCCAAACACTTTAGCGGCGTATGGCACTTTTTTTTCGGTAGTATACACTATACATATATTTTCTGAATAAACATTTCTAATCCTATGGATTTAATTACAAGAGTCCCCCCTTACATCAGAGTCCACAGAGTTCCCTCTTTACATCTGAATCTGCAGTTTCCCTTACATTTGAACTCGCACAGTTCCCTTACATTGTAAAGGGTGACTCTGCAGACTGATGTATAGGGAGAACTCTGGGGTCTCTAATTTAAGGGGGAACACTGAGAACTCTGATGTAAGGAGAGAACTCTGAAGACTCTGATATAAGGGGGTCTCTTGTAACCAGAGTCTGCAAGGAACTGTGAGGAAGATCTCTGTAGACTTTCCCCTTCCCCTTTACACCAGAGTCCACAGGGCTCCCTTTACTGTACATCAGAGTCCCTTTTACATTATTGTGCTAGGAGGCAGGAGAGGGACGATTTTACTCACAGGACGGATGGATGGAGCGGCTGTCAGCACTTGTACTCTTCCTGCTGCTGGACTTCAAACTTCCCTGACTCTGTTCCTCCTCCCGCCCTCTCCTCCTGGGAAGTGGGCGGGGCAGACACAGGAGGAGACTGAGCAGAGCAGAGACAGCTCTCTCAGTGCTCTCCTGTCAGTGCAGTGGGGGGCAGTGGAGGAGGGGGAACTGTCAGCAATGGCTCTAGGCTGCCTGTGAGAGAGAGAGAAAAAAAAAACAAAAAAACTTTCACCCAAGAGCCCCGCAGGTTCCTGGGCCCCCACACAGTGGCAGAACTCCAGGGCCTGGTTGCAAGTGCAACTTTTGCAGCCCTGGTAGTTCCACCACTGAATGTTTTTCTGCTAATCAAAAAAAAAAAAAAAAAAAAAAAAAAAACCACAACCCAGAATGCAAAAGACCTTGGGTCTTAGAAAAAAATAAATAAAAGGAGATCAAGCGACTGCTGTATTCTACAATTTCTTGATATTGTACCAAACAAGAGCCAATGCCAAGCTAGTTTCAGGGAAAAACATTATAATCTACAGATGTCCTGTGACCTCAAACGAAAATTGTAGATGCCGCTCAGGCTGTAAGGATCCCATCCACTGTGTTTGAAAGTTAGGACGCAGCTTGTCCCGGCTCTAGACAGCAACATACAGGGAAGAAAATGTCCATGAGCCACACATCTCTGCAAACCCCAGGTATGAAAGTATAATTCGGAGAAAAGAAGCGCCTCTAAGTGCAGCAGACCACTTTAATATATACTAAAATGTAGGAACACTCACATGTTTACAGAGTAATAAAAGCATGATTGGTATTGTGGTGTAGAAACACCATGTGGAACGGCTCTCACTGGTGCCTGTATCGTCCGCGTCTCAATGGTAGGGAGCGTGGTTCAGGAGGGAGACAGACATGGAGCCGGCCGGCATGCACGTACTCCTAAGAATATGACTGGAACGCACGCTGAACAGCAACGTCGGCGTAGGCGTGATGTCGTCAGTGACCAAGATGCAATGCGATGCGTTTCAGAGCATGCGCTGGCTTCTAGTGGTGGACGCGCACTCCTCTCTCAAGCAGCGGAAAGTGTAATAGCCTTAGCCAGGGTTCCAGCCAGGCCATGCACCCAACGCGTTTCACTCTGCCCCCGATCTTATTTATGATTAAGCCCCATGATAAAGTTACAGGGCGGAGTGAAAAGTGTTTGGAGCATGGCCTGGCCTGGATGGAGCCAGTGCTTAGGCTGTTCTTACTTACACGCATGGTTACCTGGGTTTGCATAGATGTGTGGCTCATATGGTCATTCTCTTCCCTGTACTCTACAGAAGTACCAATTTCAAATACCCTTTTAGAAGTACAGTCAAAGCTTGTTTGGCTGTACTTCTGTGGATCACAGGAATGCAGTTCATTCTGCACTCCTGTGACCAGTTTTCAACTGACAGCAAGCCAAAGTCCACTGTCAGCCGATGTCACTCAGCCGGTCCAGACTGGGGAAAGATTGCGTCCATAAGGTCGGGATACACACAGGAGCCTGGGCCCGTACCTGGCTCAGCCTCTCAGTGAGCCACTGTGAGCCTGAGCCAGCTGCCCGCCCCCTCCACAGCCCATCGCTCCAGTGAGCAGACAGTGATGACTGACTTCTTTCCCTAAGAGCCGACAGGAGACAACTAGGCAAGTATAATAAAAAAAAAAAACAAAACAAACTTCTCTTTTAAAACAAATCCATAAGAATGTAACATTTCTGCTAGCTTTATACTATAAACAGCTGTGTAACAGCTCAATGACTGGAAAAATGCCACACACGACTGAAACTATAATAGGAATCACAAACCTTGTGTTCCTGAGTCCGACGGTGTTTGATGAGGTCACAGCTGAAGTGGACTTGGCAGACATTGCACCATCTTAACTGCTTCTTTCTACTGCAGTGGAATAAAATGAAAGATTACTCTGAAGAAATATCTACCAATTTTCAGATTTGTGTGCAGTGTGATTGGGTTTGACCCCACCACTAAACCTCCAGCCTTAGCACAGCTGTAACGCCAGCCAAGCTACTTTTAAGCCAAGCTCCATCAGACTCCATCACTTATGTGAAACTGATCCCTGTGGTCTATGGAGCCCTTTTATGCCAACAAAGTTTCAGCCTGGCATCCACAGTTAATCTGCCAGGACAGAGATATAGAGAGGTAATTGCTGACCTCTCCTTTTGATTGTGTTTTTTTAACTTAATATAAAATATACATGCATGCTCAAACTATACATAAATTATATTCAATATATCCCACCTCTCCCAAAGGGATAAAATAAATGTGCACAAAATAGTGACCCCTAGAGGGAAACAGATGCTGGAGGTGTCTTCTGGAGGAGAAATGTGATGATTTATCATCAACAGGCGCATATACATCTCCATTGAGATGAGTTATGTGAGCACTGAGGTGTTGGAGTCGGCACTATTCTCAGCACATTATGGTATATGCAGGAGCACCATACTAGGAGTTGATATTCACTACCATGTTTTGATTTTTTTCACAATGATTGAACGGATTTAAGCAAAGACTACAATAGGAAGTTATGATTTGTTTATGTCACTATTTTGTGCACAATTTTTTTTATCCATCTGGGAGAGAGGTGGGATATATGGATTATAATTTATGTACAATTTGAGCATGTATGTATATATATTTATATTATTAAGTGTTGACTCATCTCAACATCTTTGACATATTGATGGTCAATAACAGCAGTGCAACATACAACAGTGGGAGAGATCCCTGCATCAACATTGCTTGTGTTGATGAGGGGATCTGTCAGTTTTATTTTTTCTTTTGGTCAGTGTTCAACTCACTGGCTGAATAAAAAGAATAATATATATATAATGTAACAGTTGAATATATATATATATATATATATATATATATATATATATATATATTCAACTGTTACATGCCGGAACTTCAGAAGGCACAAATCCTGGCATTGCAGTTGATTGACAGAAGCCAAAGCCTAGCGCCAGGAGGCAGCAGGGTCTACTTTTAGGGTGCAATCACACTGGTACCTTTAACTGGGCCCAGGCACAGTTCACTCCCTTGGACTAGTTCTAGTGCCTAGGAACACAGTTAGGTGAACTGTGACCAGGACAACTTGGAAGAGGTGGCTTCGGGCACGGTTCACTTGTGGTCCGATATGGCTTGTTCAACTGTGCTTGAGCACAACTCTCCATAGATGACTGAGCACAGAAGCATTGACCACTGGTCTGGATGGCAGAAGTGATGATGCAGTTGTGCCTGGGTACACCTGTTTACAGCTCAGTGTGCAGACCAGTGGGAGAGTGGGGACTGCAGGGTTCAGTTCGACTATGCCCAGCATAAGTGCAGCCAGTGGGTAAAAGTCAGGGATTTTCATAACCAGCCAGGACATAGAAACCAGAATTTCTTCAGAATAAACCCAGTGAATTGAAGACTACCAGCTCTCAGGCTCCCAAACATCCAACTAAACTCTACACCCAATGATCGTTGTGCTGAAAATATCTGAAAAATACTAACAGAATTACAGTGCTTATTGCTACTCACCCATCCCTGTTTCCAATGCTGCCTTGAGTCTCCCTGGCAGTGGGCAGAAGGGTTACCAGACAGGCGTTACTGAGATGTTCAATCTCCTGGATCTTATGCTGATGCTGTGCTGTCACCAGATGAGACTGGAAATTCTAAAAACACATACCCAAACTGAATGAAACCGAAGTACAAAAAAAAGTCTACAAGACAAAGACAGCTGGAAAGCACAACCCAGAATGATTTAACTGGTTTTTTGAAACTTAAAAATAGATGGGTTGAGTTCTGCTATAATAAAAACATCGAACTATTTAACAAATCTTTTTGGGAAGTATAAAAAAAAAAAATTCTCAAGTGGAGCTCCACCTAAACGGGAAGTTCTGCTTTAAGGACTTGACCCCCAGCTCCCCGTGAAGAATTGGCACCTTTGGGGAGCAGATACCTGATTTTCACAGGTTCCCACTTCCGCTCCAACTGCCTAAGGCCATGGTGCTCAACCTGTGGCCTTCCAGCTGTTGTGGAACTACAAGTCCCTTGAAGCATTGCAAGCCGCTGACCGTTACATGCATGATGACAGGCAGAGGCATGATGAGACTTGTGGTTCCACAACAGCTGGACGGCTACAGGTTGAGCACCCAAGGCCTAGACCAGGGGTGGGCAAACTTTTTGACTTGAGGGCCGCAATGGGTTCATATATTGGACCCGGGGGCCGAACCAAGAGTAGATGAATGATGTGTATGTGTCATCCATAGTAAGTATAGTAATATTCCCCCATAGTAAGCATAGTAATTAATCCCCCATAGTAATTAATCCCCCATATAGTAATTCATCCCCCATATAGTAATTCATCCCCCATATAGTAATTCATCCCCCATATAGTAATTCATCCCCCATATAGTAATTCGTCCCCCATATAGTAATTCGTCCCCCATAGTAATTCATCCCCCCTATAGTAATTCATCCCCCATAGTAATTCATCCCCCATAGTAATTCATCCCCCACATAGTAATTCATCCCCCACATAGTAATTCATCCCCCATATTAATTCATCCCCCATATTAATTCATCCCCCATATAGTAATTCATCCCCCATATAGTAATTCATCCCCCATATAGTAAGTCCTCCATATAGTAATTCATTCCCCATATAGTAAGTCCTCCATATAGTAATTCATTCCCCATATAGTAAGTCCCCCATATAGTAATTCATTCCCCATATAGTAAGTCCTCCATATAGTAATTCATTCCCCATATAGTAAGTCCCCCATATAGTAATTCATCCCCCATATAGTAAGTCCTCCATATAGTAATTCATTCCCCATATAGTAAGTCCCCCATATAGTAATTCATTCCCCATATAGTAAGTCCTCCATATAGTAATTAATTCCCCATATAGTAAGTCCCCCATATAGTAATTCATTCCCCATATAGTAAGTCCCCCCTATAGTAATTCATCCCCCATATAGTAAGTCCCCCATATAGTAAGTCCCCCCCCTGTGTCAATTCACTTACCTTTGGTCCGCGCGTTCCTCTCGTATTCCCGCGCCGTTCTGGTCTTCAGGGAGGACTGTGAGAGGAGTTCGTCACGCTGCCCCGCCTACATCCTGGCTGCCCCGCCTACATCCTGACAGCTGCAGAGTCCTGACGTCCGAGAGGAGGGAGGGGGGCGGCCATCCGAGAGGGGGGGCGGCCATCCGAGAGGAGAGGAGGGGAGAGGAGGGAGGGGAGCGGGCGCCCGGCACACAGGAGAGCCGCATCTAAATTTGTAAAGAGCCGCGGCTTGCCGACCACTGGCCTTGCGGGAGCCTAGCTCCGCGGGCCGGATTAAAAGGTCCGCCGGGCCGTATACGGCCCGCGGGCCGTAGTTTGCCCATTGCTGGCCTAGACGATTGGAAGCGGAAGTTCTCCCCTTTCCCCATAGTCTTCTGGGACACGTGACAGGTCCCAGAAGACTGCGAGCTTTACTCTTTTCTTTATGCCGTCTAAACTGCAGTAACTTCAGCCAAACAAGTTTTTTTTTTTTTTTTTTTTATACAAGATAGTTTGGGGGAAGGGTTGCAATTGCTGTGTCTCCACTGAGGGGGCTGCACTTTCTGTCCCCAGAGTCACAACAGAAAGGAGGGAATCCCCAACCCCCCTAAAAAAAGAAAAAAAAAAAAAAAAAAAAAATTAGCAAAAATCTCACATCTGACAGATGTCACAGGAACAAAGGGTCCCCATTGGATGATTCCCCCTTTTGGTTACAACATTTTGGATACCATCTTGATTTCATCTCACAGTGACAATGATCACAGGCAACTGGGTTAAGTGGTTAAATGTACCCAACGGGTACACAGACAACTACAAATCCTGACAGAGGTTTCAACCCTTCATGATACAAAATAATCACATCAGGGAGTACTTGATTACAGTTCAAATAAAGTGTAAAGGAAGAAGATGGAGTCTCTCATTAGTAAACGAGTGCAAAGTCAAATCAGTTCCTGCATCTCCTCTTGCTTCTCTAGGCTGATTGAATGCTGATACAACACACAAAATTGACAATATTTCTAATTAGATCCCATGTTCATGTCTATTTTGTGTTTTGTTCCAACCTTCACCATTCTATCCTAAATTGAAAAATTCTGGATGGAGTTAAAACAAATAGAAACCATGTGAGAACACTAAACAGCTAAAAGCCTTTACATGCAAAATGCAATTAGCGTTTCTCTGTAAGTTAAGGGCCACTATACCCAGATGACATTTTCATGGTTGTGGTTTACAAATCCCAGCTGCCTAAATGAAGATTAACACACAAGAATAAATCAGCCACAATGGCAACTACTCTCCCTCCCTGCCATACAGTTCTATTGGAGGTTTCAATGAGAGACATCTTATCTGAAAGGAAACCGCTCCTCCTCCACTCTAGAAATCCTATTAACCACTTGCCCTCCAGGAGGATTTACCCCCCTTCCTGACCAGGCCATTTTTTGCAATAAGGCGCTGCGTTACTTGACAATTACGCGGTCATGCAACACTGTACATAAATGTAATTTATGTCCTTTTTTCCCCACAAATAGAGCTTTCTTTTGGTGATATTTGATCACCGGTTCCTTTTTATTTTTGCGCTATAAACATAAAAAGACCGACCATTTTGAGAAAAAAAAAACAAAAAACGAAAAAAAAAAAAAAAAAAACCACAAAATAAATTTTTTTTTTTAACTTTTTGCTATAAAACATATCCAATAAAAAGAAAAAAAATTCTTCATAAATTGAGGCCAAAATTTTTTTTTTTTGCTAAAAAAAAAAAAAAAAATTTCCAAAAACGTGTAAATGAATTGGTTTACGTGAAAGTTATAGAGTCTACAAATGGCAGTATATATACACTTTAATACTAGTAATGGGGGCGAGAAGCTACTTATAGCAGGACTGTGGTGGGCATTCTGACACTGGGTGGGAACTAACTGCCACCGACATCCCCAGTGACACTAATACAGTGATTAGTGCTAATAAAAATCACTGACAATGTGCTAATGACACTGAGCAGGAAGGGGTTAACATCTGGGGTGATCAAAGGGTTAACTGTGTGCGTTTTACTAGGGAGATATGCTGTTTTGTATCTCTCTGCTGTGCAGAGAAATACAAAACCGCATGTCCATGCTAACAGGAGACCTGTGTTGTTTACAGACTGGTCTCTCCCGTCAGCTTTCCCCGACTATTGCCAAATGATTGACATCCCTAACCGCCAATAGCAGTGCTCGCGCCCCCTACCCAGAAATGAAACTTACACACACGACATCCCTAACCGCCAATAGCAGTGCTCGCCCCCTACCCAGAAATGCAACTTACACACACGATTTTGCGCAGCCCTGCCGTACTGTAGCAGTACTTCTGGCAAAGGGCAAATGGTTAAATACTGAATTTATCTGTAAAACAAAAAGATTGTATTTGTGTACAGATGTGGAATTTTTTTTTTTTTTTTTTTTTTTAACAAAAACACACCAAACATTCATAAAAACAATAAGGATGGATGAAACATTCAAATGTTTCAAATTGAAAAGTAACTCAGACTAATTGCTCCTCTGTGTGTACCTCCTAGGTAAGAATAATAAGTATTTGGAAGTGTGTCTGACCAGATCTGTTGCTGAGTGCTGATTACTGAGTGCACGATGCTTTCAGGAATGTGCAGTCACATTTAGACTCCCTACACAACTGTTGTAAAGGGCAAGTGGAAAATAAAGGCTGTTAGTACAAAGCTGATGGCATATCTATTTCTGTAACTTCATTTGGGCTTTAACCTGCTCTACCAAATGTTAGCAGACAGTCCTTGTAGCACAAGCCACTTCCCCCTCCTTCAGCATTTGTACATGTACTAGTACCTGTAGACTGTGGTAGCTGGTTTTGCATATGTAGCAGCAGAATCTAGGTTGACTTTGCACAGAGCTCCCTGCTATGCTGTTTTCTTCTCAGGACAGGCAGGCTGTAGAGCTGTGGTACGACTTTCACTTCGACGCTGGATGGTCACTTTCAGTGCACGTCCTCCGCTCATGCCCTGCCAGGCAGAAAACCATTGCATTATTGGCGGCCATAAAAAAAAAAAAAAAAAAAAAAAAAATGGTAGAACAGACCCTGAATTGATCTGTAGAAAGTCATACTACCTCAGAAGACTGAGATTCCACACTTCGCTCTTCTGCAAGAGTTCCCTTTTCTGCTGTCCCTGTAATAAGGCACCACAATGTGAGCAGAACAATTACTCAGAGCTACTCACGCTACAAAACAAAAAGTGATTATGGGACAAGTTTCTAAACAGGAAATGTTGGTTCTCAGACTACAGACAAAGGTCATGCATTAACCTGTGCAGTGCCATGCAGCATGTCTCATGTTTCTATACAAATTGCTGACACAGGAATAGGAGGGTTTACTCCACTATAGGTTGTGCATACAGGGAAATAAATGACACCATGAGACTATATAATCAATGCACATCTTATGCAGGTGAAAAAACACAAGGTGCAGGTATGAAGTTTTATAATGCCACTAGTTAAGACTTGAGCTAACCTGCAGTGCCTGGGGGGTTGCCAGCTATTATATATCAATAGTGCTTTAGAAAGGCTGAACGTACTTCACCCATGCCATAATATAAAGCTATAATAACAGAATATGAAAGCTGCTATTGCCAACATCCTCATCTAAAAATACACACAGTTCCAATAGCTATTGGAATTGTCCCACAGTTCAAATAGCTTCAGCACTTTGAGGGACTAACTTAAGCAAGTAAGCATATTGGGGGGCTAACTTCCCTTTTCTAAATCTGCATTGCTTGCTCCAGCTCACTTATGCAAAGTATTAAAAACGAGACACTCATAAATAGTGTCCCTAAAAGATCAGTAATGGCAGCTCCCACATTTATTTTTGCCAAGGTTCCCTTTATGATAAACTGTATTTTAAATTTAAGAACACTTTGGCGGAGCATTTCAAGAAACAAGGGAAGCAGAGTAATGTAGTGTCTTGCCAAAATTATTCAGATTACCTTCTACAGTGAAGCTAGTCTCATCCGTACCACTCTCTGAGCTGCCAAACAGAAACACACACATTGGTTAGCCAAAACAGCGATGAACACATTTGTTCTTCCAAAGCTGGCAGATGGTCATCATTACAAATATTTTCAGAATTTACTTCTAACAGCAAGGAAGGGACAAATTAACACAGAATTTAGTAGCCATTTTTAAAATCCTGGCAAGACCTGGAGGAATGAGGAAGCCACCAACAAACGTTCAGAAAAGTTAGGAACCAGCAGATAGAGTTGAAGCACATGGTCCCGCTGTTTCTTGGGATTAGTTTAGATTGGAGGTCAGCAAGCAGAACAGAACACTACAGTGGGAGGGTGATGTGAAGGCAACAGAGGACACTACTGTTACACACTAAGGGATTGATTTACTAAAGGTAAATATACTGTGCACTGCGAGTGCACTAAAAATGCAGTTGCTTTAGATCCAAGGGGAAGCTCAGAAATGAGGCGAAGCCCTCATGGATTTCTTTCATCCAATCATGTGCAAGCAAAAATACAGTTTTTTTTTAGTTTTACTTGGATGTTCCCCTCAGATCTAGAGCAATTGCACTTTCAGTGCACTTCCAATGCACAGCCTATTTTCCTTTAGTAAATCAACCCTTGTGTGTTCCTAATGCTGGGAGCTTGATAATTTTTTTTTTTTTTTAAAGGACCGTGCCTAGTAACCTGAAAGGTTGTCTACCCCTGGTTTAGATCTAACCAAACATACTGTAGCACTCTCCTTCCTTAACACAACTTGCACACATCAATCTTTTTAGGGATCCAGTCAGAAGATCTTTGTGAAACCATGATATGTAACAAGATGAATATATTATGTTGGACTAAAGCAGAAATGAAAAATCACAAGCTTTAACTATTTGTAGAAGGACCGATCTATTTAGTGGTAAACTATTTGACATTAAAAAAAAACACAGTGATTCATGCGTTGCTCCCGACAGCGGAGCAATTATTTACGTCAATTACATGTGGTGACCATACCTGACCCAAGTTAAGACACACACACACACACACACACACACACACACACACACACACAATCTGCTGATCTCCTTTATAACTACAGGGCACAGTAAATGACACAAGCAAGTAGCAGACCAGGTATCTGACGCAAGTAAAAATTAAAAGTAGTAACCAAGTTCTTAGATGCTGCTCCAAGAAGACCAGGTGAAGAGGTCGGCACCAGGGAGGAAGCTCGCCGACTACTGGATTTGCCTCACATGGGGAAAGCTCAGGTTCACTTTAAAATAGTATGGCCAAAAGTAACAAACCCTGCTGATTTTTCTTCTTTTTAAATGATTTAGCATTTTAGCAACCTCCCAGCTAGGCTGATTGGTAAATTTAGTTTTTGGCTCCACTGTAGTGATTGGAGTAGTGATTGATTGGTTTGGTCTGGTCAGAGCTGAGAGTTTTGCTTCCCCTTGCCTCTGGAAGAATCTTTCAGGGCATAGGAAGCAAGATTCAAATGATCAGTTGAATATTTATCATGTCCCAGAAAATCCTTGTGAAGGTGTATCCATAAGGTGGTTGGAGGAGGTGATAAATGGGAAGGAGGCCTGAGCAGACTGTTCTTTTCCATCAAGAGAGCGGGTTCTCCTGGGGTGCTGTTGTCCCTGGGAGATAGCTAGAGAGACAAGACACTGCAGTCTGGGCCTCAGAAGCATCTGGGGTGAGGGTCCGATAAGATTGCTTGAGGATTACATTTGCTAGAGGGCACTGCACTGAAGTCCTGGGTCTGGAGAAGGCTCCAGTTAATCTCCCTCACGAAGGATCTACCTGCAGATGCTGGGTGGCAGACAGCTCCTAGGAAAACGCGAGTAAAGACCTTGCTGGGGACTACAAGTTGTGAAAATGCTAGAAGGGAACCAAGTGCCCTTCTAGCATTTGCACAACTCGTGGGGCAGCACAGTGGCTAAATGGTTAGCACTTCCGCCTGGCAATACTAGGGTTGTTGGATCAAATCCGATTCATGGCACCCCCTGCCTGGAGTTTGCATGTTCTCCCTGTGCCTGCATGAGTTTCCTCCGGGTGCTCCGGTTTCCTCCCACACTCCAAAGACATGCTGGTAGGTTAATTGGAACTTGTCTAAATTGGTCCTAGTATGTATGTAAGTTAGGGACCTTAGATTGTATGCCCCTTGAGGGTTAGGGACTGATGTGAATGTAACTAAACACACACACACCGCTGCGTAAATTGACGGCGCTATAAAAGTACCTGAAATAAATTGCCAGAGGCTGTTATATGGACTGCTGTTGTAGGGTCCTAAATATACTGGCCATTCCCTGCTACTTCCAGAAAAGCTGCTACTTGAAGAGTAGAGAGAAGTTTGTCCTCCTATTGTTGGCTTCTGATCATTTTGGAATATCCAAAGACTCTAAACCCTTCTCCTGAAGTACTTCAGCAATAAAATAGTTTTGAATATTTTGTTTCCCTTTTTGGATAGACTAGGGAAAGGTTAGTGCTTTTGAGTGTTTATTGCTGCTGAAAATTGAGAGAAAATCCAGAATTTCAATTAGTTGCTGAACAGTAGTGCATCTTCCAGTGGGTACACCAGTTCTGGTGACAACTGTCCAAGAGGGTAAATCCCCCAACTTTATAGAGATTTCCCCCTTGCCCACATTTTGATGATGAACGGTAATGCTCTTTAATTTGCATGGGGCTCCCAAACAAAGACAGGTTATTCTCACGGAAACCTAGTTTGCATGTGGTATTGTTGATTGTCAATGAAAAAAAAAAGAAAAAAAAAACAAAAACAAAAAAAAAAAAAACGAAACAAACCCACATCACACACCAACACGGAAGGGCATACAAATCATGAGGCTAAACAGTAACAATGGAATTGCATCTACTTTTGCCATTTTTTCCATTGAGTACTAAGGGAGGAAAAGTTGGAAAAGTGAGATCTGCAGCTCCAGAAAACAGAAAAATTTGAATATGAGACAATGGAGAGGGGTTAGTAGTTACAGTTACCTTCTTGCTCTCTTGGCTGAAGGTTCAAGGGGGTCGGTAATGCTGCATTCAGTTCGCGTTTCGGCATCTGCAATGACACGTTTGTGAAAACCCATAGGACACAAGAGAGAAAAGGAGAAAATTAGTAACCAAAAAAACAGTGGGTATCGAAGCAATGCAAATGAGGTATCTCCTTAAAAGAACAGTAACCACCAAAAAGGAATACTTGGTTCATTATCTGGTATAACGTTTTCACAGTATATTAACCACTTGCCTACCAGGCACTTATACCCCCTTCCTTACCAGGCCAATTTTCAGCTTTCAGCGCTGCTGCACTTTGATTGACAATTGCGCGGTCATGCAACATTGTACCCATATGAAATTTTGATCATTTTTTTCTCACAAATAGAGCTTTCTTTTGGTGGTATTTAATCGCCACTGGGCACTTTACTTTTTGCACTATAAATAAAAAAAGTGCAAAAAATTTGAAAAAAAAAAAAAAAAACATTTTCTTTGTTTCTATTATAAAATTTTTCAAACAGGTATTTTTTCTCCTTCACTGATGTGCATTGATGATGAGGCACTGATGGGCACTGATAGGGGCACTGATAGGCGGCACTGATGGGCACTGATAGGCGGCACTGATGGGCACTGATAGGCGGCACTAATGAGGTGGCACGGATAGGCAGCACTAATATGCAGCACTGATAGGTGACACTGATGATGGGTACTGATAGACGGCACTGACTGGCACTGCTCACTGCTGGGGCACTGACTGGCACAACCCCTGGGCACTGACTGGCAGCAATGCTGGGCTGCACAGGTGGGTGGGCACAGGTGGGTGGCACTTCTGGGCACAGGTGGGTGACACTGCAGAGTGGCACAGGTGGGTGCATTGCTGGGCACAGGTGGGTGCATTGCTGGGCACAGGTGGGCGGAGCTAGTGGGCGCACTGCTGGGTACAGGTGGGCGGAACTTGCGGGTGGCACTGCTGGGCACCGATCATCAGTGTCCTGATGATCGGTGCCGATCCCCGCTGTGACAACTGCCGGTTCTCGGCAGTACTTTCCTCACGATCTGACAGCGTGAGGAAAGTGCAGCCGAGAACCGGCACTTGCATTTCCCTGTGATCAGCGTGTCATTGGACACCGCTGATCACGTGGTAAAAGGCCGCTGGGATCGGCCTTTTACCACATCACGTGATCAGCTGTGTCCGTAGGACACAGCGATCACGGAGATCGCCGGGTGCGCGCCCCAGGAGCGCGTTCTGGGGGGACGTCATATGACGTCCACCCAGAACTGGCCGGCCGCAGTGAAGCCGTCATTCGGCTATCAGCGGTCGGCAACTAGTTAATGTGAACTTTCATTATTCCCAGGATCCCCCCTGTCATTTCAAGGGAGAGAAAATGTCCTGGAAGGCTAGTCTTCCTAATGCACCTCCAGTCATCCAGCAGATTAAAGCACATCTAAGGGAATGAATGGGACAACAGTGAGTGTGTACAGTAAAAAGAGCAGCCAGCTGGGGCATTATCCTCGCAAAGGCTGTGTGGCACAGAGCAGAACCACACAGTGAACATCCCTGGAAAAGGCAGGAAGGTATTTTGCGCTGCACTGGGGGAGGGGGGGGAGCAGTATTATTAAAAGGACAAATTTACAGTACAGTTTACCATTAAAAGTGGAAGTCGGTTTTTACACTTGTACCTACAATTAAGCCTCTAATAAGGCTGTAAATATCTCCTAAAACGTACACCGTTTTTAAAAGATATTTACCTGTGTAGAGCACCGGCGCATGCGCTCTGAAGGAACGGCATGCTCGTGCCGTTCCTTCAGAGCTGTGTGCCGTAAAAAGTGACTTATGGCTGCTTCAAGCTGCCAGAGCCCCCAAACCCAGGAGAGGGCCCGAATGAAAATGGAAGCCCTATCAGCGGTGACAGCGCGCTGCTGGAGGGCTTCGTTTTAAGGTAAGTTTCACATAAAGTACTAGTATGTGAGGCATACTAACACATTATGACATTGCCTTGCAGGGAAAAACTTTTTTTTTCCCCCCCAAGAGTTTTTTTTTTTTTTTTTTTTTAAGCGTTCAATACCGTTTTAAATAGAACTAGCATTTGACTTTAATCTGTCTTCGGCAAGCCATATCTATAGATGTAGCATATAGATTTCTCTAGTTCTGCCAGCTCTGTGCTTCTCTATGCAAATTAGTCAGATAAAGGCCGCTGAGGGGCCAGCAGGGTGCTGTACAACAAAGCTTCCTGAATACATCACCCAGCATCTGTACTCCTCTCCAGGGATGTTTGATTCCTATCGCCCGATGCATGTAGTTCCAGGCGTCGGGCAGGTGTTTTTTTTTTTCTACCTATTTCTACCTTGCAGGCAAGCAGGGGGCTCACCTGTCAGGTGGAAGCATTCGGGTGGCAGCGTTGCCGCCCGACTGCTTCCACACAGTGTCAGCCTCTTCACCCCCACCTGACTTTGTTCCCTATGTGATGGGAAAAAAAACAAACAAAATAAATTTTAGTTTAATTTTTTTACGATTAAAAAAAAAAAAAAAAAAAAAAAAGTTACACCCAAGCACATACCATCACCCCCCCCCAAAAAAATTGAGGCCCCCCACATATATGCACGTACAAACGTAAAAGCACCCGCTGGGGCACCCATGCATGAAAACATTGATTGTGATACACATGTCACATATCGCCACGCACACCAGAATGAGTGCAATCATTCTCGCACCAGACCTCCTCCGTAACACTAAACTGATGACCTTTAAGCAGCTTTAGAAATATAGGGTACTGAATTTCGTCGCCATTTCATGAGCATGCACAAATTTAAGGTTGACAAGTTGGATATCTATTTACTCGATGCAACCTAGTCTTTAATAGTTTACAAAAAATAGGGTAATTTATTGTTTTTTTGTGCCCTAAAATTAACTTACCTATTTTTTACTGAAATTTTGCGGTAATATGCGACATAAAAAATTGGAACTACCATTATTTTATTCTCTAGGAATCTCCGATTTCAGAAAATGTATGATGTTAGGGGGTTTTTTATGTAATCTTCAGGCCTAAAATTATTTTTTAAACTTGTGAAAAAAATGCAAAAAAAAAAGGGCTATGGCAGCAAAAGGGATAAAGGATAAGCCCTGACCCACCCTTTCCAATGTTAAAAATATTAAACGTTTAAGACGCCATAAAGCCCCTTTTGCTTTTGAAAGCCGCAAACATTCCTAATATCACCTCCGATTTAAATACAGTTTCGGTTAAAATGTATTTATTTTTTTATTGGACAAGTAGATTGTCCTGAGGCAAGTAGATTGGGGCACCAATTTAGCCCCTGGACAAGTAGTTTTTTTTTTTAAACATTTCCACACCCCTGCTCTCAAAAGCCTTTAACCCTGAAGCCAGATATTGGCAGGCTCTTAGGAGGAGTTATGCAAATATCAAAATACCTTTATAGATAGATGTTGGGGTGGACTGTGTGATCCTAGACAGATTGCTTTTACATGAAGATGGCTCAAGGCAATGACCACATGTGATGCTGAAAGAACTGAAATCCAAGGAATGAAATGGGTGGGCCAGTGCAGCAGCGGAGCCTGTATAATGCTTACCCCCCCCCCCCCCTCCCCCCAACCATACCTGTTGATCCAGTTTGTGAAGTCTGCCTCATGCAGCTTCAGGGGTGACCACTACTGCACTGCTCAGGAGCTGAGAGCAGTGTTGTCAACTTTATAAAAAGCTGTGGTTACCAGCTTTGTCACAAGCCTGTAGCTTTTCAACACTTGGTCCTGCCCGCTGCTTTCTGGATTAATGGTGCTGCTTTAACCCTCCCACTGTGAGCTCTATCTGGGAGGTTGAGTATGGACAGCACAAATGGGTGTATTTGGCTTAAACTGGCCATACATGGATTTCAGCATGATTGAAGCTATATTTTCCCAACATGTCCATTCATAGATGGATCAACTTTTCATGAATAGGAACAGACATATGGATGAAAATTAGTCTAGTTCCTGCTGAACTGACCACATTTGATTCATCTATGGCCCAGCTTTATTTAGGGTGGATAAAAAGTTTTTTTTTTTTACAATGACACACCTAAAGTTGAAAGAGAAATGCAAACTATAGCACTGTCTAGAACTCATGGGTATGACGGAGTATGGGAGAAAAGGGCAGTCATAAAAGGAGTCTATGGAAGACTTAAAAGAGTTTTTGTAAAGGCTAATTTTTTTTTTTACCTTCATGCATTCTACGCATGAAGGTAAAAATTTCTGTATGCAGCAGCCACCCCCCCCCCCCCTCCCAAGCCCCCTCTCAATCCAGCGATGTGCACTGATGTCTCGGCTATCCTAGAACTCCGTCTCCTCACTGGTTGAGCCAATGATTCCCGCTGCTGTCAATAATAGTCAGCGAACCAATGTGAAGAGGCAGGGCCAACCCGTGACTCTGCATGTGAATGAAAACACAGAGCTGCGGCTAGGGAATGCGTATGCTTGGGTGCCCCCATTAGCAAGCTACTTGCACCCAACCGGAGGGAGGGACAGGAGGAGCATCGGCGGGGAACCCGAGAAGAGGCTGCTCTGTGCAAAACCACTGCACAGAGCAGGTAAGTATAGACATGTTTTTTTTTTTCTTTTTTATATTATTTAAAAGTGTTACTAAACCCAGGACCCTGAATTCACTATATCTACTCTCCCACAGTACACACTACATGGAAATGCTATTATTTTAGTAAGTATAAATTGCTAAAGTCTCATGACTTCTATCAGTGTTCAGCAAAGCACTGGTTAAAGCTTGCAGGAGGAGTTTTTCTTTCTGCTCTAGGAGGATGCAGAACCCCTGACCTCTGTCTTGACAATGCTGATTGGCCCTGTGCTGATCACATGCACTCTCCCAAGAAGAAAGAAAAGGTGCAGCCAGTACATTTGAGACCTTTCTGCAACAATGATATGCTCATTTTCCCTTACATGCAGAGAGTGTATCACTTTTATTTTTCCCATTTTTAATAAACAGCCTACATTCAGAAGGGTGTGCACTCTATTTCTCACTTGAAGTTGAAACCCACAGTAAGTTTCAGCCCTGAGCTCTTCAATCAAACACACCCCAGTCTGACTATAGATAATTCTTGTAACTATGACAGCAGGCAATGAAATGGCCATACACCATGTTCTCCTTATCCTCCATTTTTTCATATCATCATGTTCAAAAGCTGGATATTTTTAGGCTGTCCTAAATTACTTGTGATGGGAAAGAAGATTAGGCATCTTTTTTCAGGGTTACTTTTCCTTTAAGAATCAATGTAAATAAAAAGTTGTAAAATGTGCTGAAATGGGTTAATACAACTTGATCGGACATGCAAACATATTGTAAGTTCTCCAATTCACATTGCTTACCTTAACAAAATAGGTTAGAAGGAAAGAAGGGCCCTTTGCAAAACAGCAAATATCATTAAATAAATTCTCAAAAGGGATCAAAGGTTATATTTTTTTTTTTTTTTTTTTTTACTATATATGAAAAATGTAACTAGCTTAGTGTATATAATTCTAATACATGTCCCAGTCCTGCGATTCCATCCAAAGGCTGTTATGTCACAAGTGTCATATGCAAAAGATTCCGGTAGCAGGTGTAGCTCTGCAGGAGAGTCAACAGAACTGTTTTAAAGGGGGGGGGGGGGGGGGGGGTAACCAAAACCTGGAGTTGCTTTAATGTTCTAAAGAATACTAATTATGTAAAATGGGAGAGTTCTATTCAGTCATTTGTAGGTTCTGCTTTGCAGTGATACACTGCCCAATAATATAAACATAACCACCCAAGAAAACCCCCCTAAAAAGTGAATATGTAATATGGTCCTAAAATATATGGCACCTGGGTCACTTGATTGCCTCCCACAGCTTCCAGTATCCTCTCTATGCTGATGACACGCAAATCTCTCTACTTTTCAGCTCACCTCCTTTGGTCTCCTCATACATCAATAACTAAGCTCATAATATTTCCCTCCCCACCCACACCCCAACTCCCTTCTCATAGGCCTACCTTTATACAAGCAAACCATCCTTCAGTCTATTATAAATGCTGCTGCTAGACTTATCCGCTTTACCATTGCTGCCCACCACCCCTCTGCCAATACCTTTGTGTTCTGGTAGCCCAAATGTACAAGTCAATACTATCATCCAAAGCGTCCACTCTGCTCCTCTCAGGACCTCCTGCTCTAGCTCCCTTGTCACTTCTTCCCATTCTTGCCTACAGGACTTCTCTAGAACCTCTACCATTATCTGGAGCCCCTTTCCCCAATCTGTCTGGCTATCTTCTGCTCTGTCCAGCTTCAGGCGATCCTTGAAAAGTCATCTCATCAGGAAAGCTCATCCTATGTCCACCTAAAAAAACTGCACTTCTACTACCCCCATCAGTTCATCCCTCAGTTATTGCCTCTTGTAGAACTTGCTCCTCCCTTTTAGACCGTAAGCTCTCAAGATCAGAGTCATCCTAATCATCTTGTATTGAACTGTATCCTTTACCATCTCCCTTCACTTTACAAAGCGCAGCACAAACTGCTATAAAAAATAGTCATCACAGGAACAGGTGTTGCCACTGAATGATTTCCCCTTACCCCTACTCTAGTGAAAACTAACATTTTGAAACTTTTGCTCAGCTACAAATGGTCAAGACAGGCAGAGAAGATGCATTTCCAGGCAAAAAAAAAAAAAAAAAAAAAGTTTGCTTTTACTATTGCGAGATGAAAGTTAGGGAGAGCCCGAGATCCCATGACAGAAGCCTTGAGCTCGAAAAGCTGAAATGATGAAGGCCCAATGTCAGGTATTAAGGCAAATTCCTCACCTTCTGAAGTGACATTTTCATCAGCCTCGGATGCAGTAGGGGGAAGTTCTGCATTAGTTTTCTCTGAGTTGGTGTCTGGAAGGGAGGAACGCTTTTCTCTGTCTCGCTTAGTTTCATGGCCCTATAGTAAAAAACAGTTTTTAAGTTATATATGCAATATATAAAATATATATGTGCAACACTAATCAACAAATTAAATAAAGTACAGTCAGGTCCATAAATATTGGGACATCGACACAATTCTAACATTTTTGGCTCTATACATACACCACAATGGATTTGAAATGAAACGAACAAGATGTGCTTTAACTGCAGACTGTCAGCTTTAATTTGAGGGTATTTACATCCAAATCAGGTGAACGGTGTAGGAATTACAACAGTTTGCATATGTGCCTCCCACTTGTTAAGGGACCAAAAGTAATGGGACAATTGGCTTCTCAGCTGTTCCATGGCCAGGTGTGTGTTATTCCCTCATTATCCCAATTACAATGAGCAGATAAAAGGTCCAGAGTTCATTTCAAGTGTGCTATTTGCATTTGAATCTGTTGCTGTCAACTCCCAAGATGAGATCCAAAGAGCTGTCACTATCAGTGAAGGAAGCCATCATTAGGCTAAAAAAACAAAACAAACCAATCAGAGAGATAGCAAAAACATTAGGTGTGGCCAAAACAACTGTTTGGAACATTCTTAAAAAGAACGAACGCACCGGTGAGCTCAGCAACACCAAAAGACCCGGAAGACCACGGAAAACAACTGTGGTGGATGACTGAAGAATTCTTTCCCTGGTGAAGAAAACACCTTTCACAACAGTTGGCCAGATCAAGAACACTCTCCAGGAGGTAGGTGTATGTGTGTCAAAGTCAACAATCAAGAGAAGACTTCACAAGAGGGAATACAGAGGGTTCACCACAAGATGGAAACCATTGGTGAGCCTCAAAAACAGGAAGGCCAGATTAGAGTTTGCCAAACGACATCTAAAAAAGCCTTCACAGTTCTGGAACAACATCCTATGGACAGATGAGACCAAGATCAACTTGTACCAGAGTGATGGGAAGAGAAGAGTATGGAGAAGGAAAGGAACTGCTCATGATCCTAAGCATACCACCTCATCAGTGAAGCATGGTGGTGGTAGTGTCATGGCGTGGGCATGTATGGCTGCCAATGGAACTGCTTCTCTTGTATTTATTGATGATGTGACTGCTGACAAAAGCAGCAGGATGAATTCTGAAGTGTTTCGGGCAATATTATATGCTCATATTCAGCCAAATACTTCACAACTCATTGGACGCCGCTTCACAGTGCAGATGGACAATGACCCAAAGCAGACTGCAAAAGCAACCAAAAAGTTTAAGGGAAAGAAGTGGAATGTTATGCAATGGCCAAGTCAATCACCTGACCTGAATCCGATTGAGCATGCATTTCACTTGCTGAAGACAAAACTGAAGGGAAAATTCCCCAAGAACAAGCAGGAACTGAAGACAGTTGCAGTAGAGGCCTGGCAGAGCATCACCAGGGATGAAACCCAGCGTCTAGTGATGTCTATGCGTTCCACACTTCAGGCTGTAATTGACTGCAAAGGATTTGCAACCAAGTATTAAAAAGTGAAAGTTTGATTTATGATTATTATTCTGTCCCATTACTTTTGGTCCCTTTACAAGTGGGAGGCACATATGCAAACTGTTGTAATTCCTACACCGTTCACCGGATTTGGATGTAAATACACTCAAATTAAAGCTGACAGTCTGCAGTTAAAGCACATCTTGTTCGTTTCATTTCAAATCCATTGTGGTGGTGTATAGAGCCAAAAATATTATAATTGTGTCGATGTCCCAATATTTATGGACCTGACTGTATATGTGAGAAATGTCCCCAATTATAAGAACATAAAATCAGTGACAGTCTCTATAATGAACATATGGTGATATACAGCTTCAATCCAGTGGTGGTGCTCCCAGTGGTAAAGTAAGAATTACACACTCACCAGTAGCGTAACTTAATTACAGCAGGGCAGGGCTCTCTCAGCCATTTTTAAGTGTCTCCCCCTCACATGGTCCAGAAAATAAAGTCTTCAAAACACAAATAAAGCCAACCAAAAGTCCTCCAAAACCTGTCACCTGCTGTGATCCAGTTACCAGTCCACCAGACCCAGAGAGGGAAGCACCTGTAAGCAGGCATCTGTACCCACCTATCCCTTAAAGGGACCTCTGGCCAGCTGGATCTACCTACTTCCTCTGAGGGCTCATATCCTTATCAGCTGGAAGGAGAACCTACCCTAAGTTCCAGCCCAGACCTATACCTGTGAAAGGGACCCCTGTTGATTTACATACTGCGTAATTAAATTACGCTTCTGTTGAGTGCGTAATTCTTACCTTACCACTGGGAGCACCACCACTGGATTGAAGCTGTATATCACCATATGTTCATTATAGAGACTGTCACTGATTTATGTGATTATTGGGGACATTTCTCACATATACTTTAATTTGTTGATTAGCGCTGCACATATATATTTTATATGTTTATGACAAGGTTTTGTTTGGTTTCCTTGAGCGTTCAGCTGCTTGCCATAAGAGCGCTCACTTTCATTGCTATTTGTATTCTCTATATATGCAATATGCCTAACAAAGTAAAATTAGAGTGACTCTTCTTCCCCCTGGAGGGGACACCTGGACAAATAAAAGGGGAGGGGGGGGGGGGGTCCCTGAAAAACCACCACCAGTGCAATACTGGCCCCAGGTGTCAGTACCTCCCCAAGATCCCTGCTTCTGCTGAGGGAGGACTGCGCCTGGGAGGCCCCTGCCACCTAGCATAATGGCCTGGTTAAAAAAAAAAAAAAAAAAATATATAAAGCAAGGTTGTGATCCTGTCTGGCCGGGGGAAATGCATAAACTGAGGGACTGATAAGGATAAGGTATTTTCAATGATATGGATCATGAGATTCCTGTTTAGGTTCAAGAGGCCTCTCTTGTATAAGCTGTTCTGGAAGATGACTTGAAGGTTAGTGGAAACCTTTTGAAAGAGAAAGGTGTGTGCCAAAAGCCCCACCATTTGCACATTACTGGGATGGGCAATCTAATCTGCCAATAAGAAAGGGCATTGGCACTTGGCCCATTTACCCAAGAAGTGTATGCATACAACAGCACCTGGATATTCTGGTCATCTGGGATTTTGGGAGGTGGCTGCTATGTGCTAGAATACATTTATTTCTTTCGTTACCTTGTGATAAAGTCGCGGCTGTGTGAATGGAAGTGGTGGTGGGAAAGTCATATTTGGAGCCTTCACAGTAACACCTATAGGAGGAATGCCCAGAATGGAGTGTCTTGCAGCTGTGGGAAAGAAGGGTGGCATTGGAGGCGCAACCATGCTGAGACCCCGGAGATTACCTGCTAAACAAAAAATATATTTTTGTCTAAGTACAGAGCTCAGAATAATTTTTTCAGTATTGCTGTGACATCTATGAGAACACAAATTAGCTAAGATGTGAGTGGACACAAGATCAGATACAGCTTTAGCTCATGTTCACACTGATGTGGTGCGGGTAAATCCCATGATTCGCACAGGAACCACATTTTGTATGGCTCTATTCGCACTGCAGCAAAAACACGCAGGACCCTTTTTTGGTCCGCACTAGAATCGGATCGCAGAGGTATTCACACCTCTGCGATCTGATTCTGCACATTGCACCTTGTTTTGCGGACCGATTTCGGGGTGTCCTTAACTTAACATACGCACCCACATCGGTTCGCATGGATGGGGAGCGATTTTGATGCTTTGCGGAATTCGCACTGAAAATGCTGTGAATCCTGTACCACATCAGTGTGAACCAGGGCTCAGTCTATATGTATCACTTGGAAAAGAAAATCGGTACTGTTGCTTCTTCCTCATCACCCAAACCTATTTTGTGTGGTTTTTTTGCCTTCCTATGGATCTACTGTGGTTATAGCAATGTGTATATGGAGTTTTTTTCTATTTGTGTATATGTGTTTTTTTATTGGTTGAACTAGATTGTCTAGTGTCTCTTTTCAACCCAACTATGCAAGGACAGAAAACAGCAAGGCAAGAAAACAGCAAAAAAATTTAAACTATTTTAAAGCAGCCATGATGCAAGATTGTACTAAGAAGAAAAACTAAAGTGTGATGATCTTAACAGCCCAGATCAGATCAATGAGGACAGATATATGGGAGTGGTTATTGCGGACTCTGTTTACACATTTGCAATCTCCAAAACTGCCACCCTGAACCTAGCTTCACTACTTTGAGAAAACCTCATCTGAAGCAAGCAGGTTGGACAGAGCTTCCTTATTTTCTCCCTCAGAAATATCAATGCATACCCATGTGAGACAGTGTGAGTTCAGGGACACACCCGCAGCCACACTGATGTCAAAGGAGGAAAGATTAGAGGAACTGAATTTATTCTCTCTTGAGAAGGAGACAAAGGGGGGATATGATCAACATAAATGAATACATCAGTGGTTCATATAGTGAACTCCGTGTAGAGCTATTCACCCTGAGGTCATCACAGAGGACAAGGGGGCACTCTTTACATCTGGAGGAAAAGAAATGTAATCTCCAAAACACGGAAAGGTTGCTTCACACTGAGAGCTGTGAAAATGTGGAATAGACTCCCTCAGAGTTGGTTCTGGCCAGCTCAGTGGATTGCTTTAAAAAGGCCTGGATTGTTTCTTGGATACACAGAATATAACTGGATACTAACATTTATAGGTAAAGTTGATCCAGGGAATATCCGATTGCCTCTCGGGGGATCAGGAAGGAACTTTTTTTTTTCCCCTGCAGGAGCAAATTGGATTGTGCTTTGCTGGGTTTTTTGCCTTCCTCTGGATCAACTGTGGGTATAGGATTATAACTTTTTTTTTTTTTAATGGTTAAACTGGATGGACTTTTTCAGCCAGACTAACTATGTAAATTGGAAGTAGCAGCTGTGTCTGTGCAGTTGCTGTAGCCCAAATGACATCAGCAGGCCAGCCTGCATGGGGATGCACAGAACACCTGTGCATCCCTGTGTGGGTAAACATAGCCTCACATGGGGGTACGCACTGATCTGCCCCTGTGTGAACGAGGCCCAACAGTTTTATTGTTTTCCTTAGGTTTTATCTATTGAAAGCTAAAGTGAATGTAAACCCTAACAATGAACTTCTCCTATTAGCTCCTGTCTAGTCTGTCTAATATACAACTGAAAGAGTTTTATGTTTGCAAAGTTAAAAAAAAAAAAAAAAAAAAAAAAAAAAAAACCTTGTCAGAAACTTAGAGCAGTCCAATTGTTTGGCCTTGACATATGTTTGCAGTAAACCTTCATTGGCCTGGCAGGCAAGCAGATTTAGCCAAGTTTAATTTTGGCTAGAATAGGGATAGTTAGAGCTCCTGCCAGGTTTTACTGCTATCTGGGTGGGGTTCCATTAGAGAGACTTCCCCCTCACTCAATTAGAGCAGGTATAGAAAAGTCTTGAGATAGGCTATATTCTCCCTGCTGAATATCAGAAAGCAATTCAGATAAGAGACAACCCATTTCACATAACTCCTTCGAAGTGCTCACCCATCTGAAGAGACTCCGGACAGAACATGGTGTAAGCTCACCTTGCATTTGCTGCATTAATAGAGCTCGCTGTATCATTGGATGAGTGTTGAGAAGCCTGGCAGGGCTGGCTGGTCGCAAGTTCAACATTTGCTGTGGCTGCTGGACTGGATTTGAAATAGGCCTGTAAAAAGAAGCAGTTAGTGAGAGGCCAGAGAGAAACTGACAGATCACAGGATGCAGAAAGATCCTTACCTGGGGGCAGCATGCTGGGCAGGCAGAGGGTGCTGTGTGGTGGGGTGGGTGGTGTGCTGCTGGCTGTACAGTGTGCTGGTGCTGCTGCAGAAGATGCTGAAGCTGGATCAGCTGATGGAACTGTTGCTGCTGCTGGTTGAACATGTTGGCTAAATGCCTGACGAAATAGAAAAAGGAGTCATTTCAACCCTTACATGTCTATAGAATCCCTAAATCTATTTTTCAGTATGTTTGGCATCACACCTCATGGTACAATTTTCTTAAAGTGGAGTTCCACCCAAAAGGGGAAGTTCAGCTGCTCCCCGTTACGGATTGGCACCTTTCGGGAGCGGGTATCCGAATTTGACAGGTACCCGCTCCCAATTCCGCTGCGATCACCTAAGGTGATCGGAAGTGGAAGATGTCCCCCCCCCCCCCCATCCCAGTAGTCTTCTGGGACATGTGACAGGCCCCAGAAGACTACAGGGCCATTCACAAACCGCAGAGCTACTCACACATGTGCAGTGGGCAACCGGCTGTGAAGCTGCAAGCTGTCACAGCTGTGTGCCCACACTGAAGATGCTGGCGCCGGGGAGAGAAGACAGCTGGTGAAACCAGCCATGGTGAGGACACCGCTTGACTGAGGGACAGGTAAGTGTCTGTATTTTAAAAGTCAGCAGCTACAGTTTTTGTAGAGACTGACTTTTTTTTTTTTAAATCAACTGGAACTCAGCTTTAAGCAAATAATTTTTTGTGAACCTGCTTTAACCACCACCGTTTAGCAGATATACTGCTACATGGTGGCACTGGTGCGCAAAAATCACACACATACATAATAAATATATACACACACACACACACACACACACACACGCACACGCACGCCCTACCTGCGCAGCTGTTCGCGGCCGTCAATCATAGTCTTCCCTCCCTGTCAGCTCGAGCACACTGCTTGGGATGGCTGTGCACAGCACATCCAACCCGATCAGTATGCTTACAGTGAAGTGCACCCCCGCCCCCTAGTAAACCACTCCCCCCCCCTGCCCCCTAGTAAAACACTCCCTACACAGTTAACCCTTTGATCGCCCCTCACCTTAACCCCTCCCTGCCCAGTGCCATTAGTACAGTGTCAGTTCTGTTTTTTTAGCACTGATCACTGTATTGGTGTCACTAGGGATGTCAGTAACAACAAGTTAGTCCCCCCCAGTGTCAAAATACCTGCCGCAGTCCCGTTAAAAGCCGTTGATTGCCGCCATTACTAGTAAGGGGGGGAAATCCCAGTATCTATACCGCCATTTGTATACGCTATAACTTTAATGTAAACCAATTACATGTATTAGGAGTTTTTTTTAGCAAAGACATGTAGCCGAATACATTTTGGCTTAAATTTATGACAAAATTTGATTTTTTACATTTTTTTTTACTGGGCACGTTTGTTTAATAGCAAAAAGTCCAAAATATAGTTTTTTTTTCTCAAAATTGTCGGGTCTTTTTTTGCTTATAGTGGGAAAAAAAAAAAAGGACGTAAATTTGACCTGGGTGCGGATTTGCATGACTGCGCAATTATCAGTTAAAGTGACGCAGCGCAGTAACGCAAAAAATGGCCTGGTCAGGAGGGGGGGGGGGGGGGGTAAGTCCTCTGGAGGGCAAATGGTTACAATAGCACTAAAGGCGCACAATTTTTTCCCCACTTTGGATAAAGAAGGGTCATTACCCGTCAATTTTTGTTTTGCCCATATGTGTCCCATGGGGAGATTTACCTTCACTTCTGGTCTCATATATTTTCTTATACTTTCACTTTGATAATGGTAAACCGAACAAATAAGAGAGGGAGAACAGGGGCAGAAGAAGCAATAAACTGACAGGGGTTCCAATCCATCTTCACCTTGTCTTTGGGTATACTTTAAGTTTCTTTACTTGGAAATCCTGCTGGTAACATTACATTCTGTTGCAGGCTGACAATGCTAAGCAATTACCTTGCAGTCGGCAGCAGCCATTTCAGCCTACAGCGCACATTCCTTCAGTTTTCTTAACGTGTTACTAAAACCAACAACAGTAAAATCAGTCTGTATATACAGTAAAGCATGCTTGTTATGCTCACTGTGGAGCCTAAGGATGTTTGATCCTGTCTTCTCTGATCTTCCTCTACTGTCCCCAATCCAGTTTGGTGTGTATTGCTTTTTTCCTTGGAGGTGCATGTGATCAGCAAAGGGCCAATCAGCACTGTCCATACAGATGGTCAGGGTCAGCGCAGCCTCATAGGACAATCAGGGGAGAATGAAAACTCCTCCTACAAGCTTTAACAAGTGCTCTGCTGTACACGGATAGAAGTCACAAGACTGCTCTAACTGCTGATGAGAAAAAAGTATTTAGCAATTTATATTTACCGTATATACTCGAGTATAAGCCGAGTTTTTCAGCACATTTTTTGTGCTGAAAAACGGCCCCCTCGGCTTATACTCGAGTCAACGTCTGCAGATGTCTAGCAGGGGCGGGATGACACGCCGTCCCTGTCATCTGGACACACCCCCGGGATCAATCCTCGCCGGTGATTGGCCGCCGGAACTGTAGCTCAGGAGAGGCACACAGGCGCCCAATCACCGGCGAGGAGGTGGAGCTTGGAGAGGAGGAGCCGAGCAGCACCGCGAAGATCGAGCGAGTGAAGAGGAGGAGAGCGGCCGGAGAAGGAAGACATCTGACCGTAAGTGTGTACCATGGGGAGAGGGAGGGAGCGCGCGAGCCCAGGCTGGAGCAGAGGCACTATTCCTCCCCCCACTGACACCAACGATGGGGCACTATTCCTCCCCCCACTGACACCAACGATGGGGCACTATCCTCCCCCCACTGACACCAACGATGGGGCACTATTCCTCCCCCCACTGACACCAACGATGGGGCACTATTCCTCCCCCCACTGACACCAACGATGGGGCACGATTCCTTTCCCCCACTTGACACCAACGATGGGGCACTATTCCTCCCCCCACTGACACCAACGATGGGGCACTATTCCTCCCCCCACTGACACCAACGATGGGGCACTATTCCTCCCCCCCACTGACACCAACGATGGGGCACTATTCCTCCCCCCTCGGCTTATACTCGAGTCAATAGTTTTTCCCAGTTTTTTTGTGGTAAAATTAGGTACCTTGGCTTATATTCGGGTCGACTTATACTCGAGTATATACGGTACTAAAATAATTGCATTTCCATGTTGTGTGTACTGTGGGGGACCAGATATAGAGAATGCAGGGTCCTGGGTTTAGTGACACTTTAAGCAGTTATATTTTAGAATCTATTACAAAGTTTCTTACCTGGAGATCCTGTATACTTCCTAGTGCAGGCTGTCATCAATGCTGCTATTTCTGAGGCATCAGTTTAACATTGTCAGCCTACGCTAGGAAGTCTACAGGATCTCCAGATGAGAAACTTTGCAACAGATTCACAAAAAAAAAAACGAAAAACAAAAACCACACAAGAAACATATGCTTAAGAAAATCATAAACAGTAAAACATGGTACCAGACATACGAAAATAAATTTTACACTTGCATAAAATCCTAAAGGAACTCTACTTCAAATTATCAGATTAACTACTTGAGCCCCAGCCACTGCATTAAAACGTTTGCAGGGCGGCACGGCTGCGCAAAACCACGTTTTTTAAACATGGTTTTGCAAAACAGGTAGGGGCGCGCGCGAGGCGCATGCCCGCCCTACCTGTCCCGCGGGTGTCAGCAGCGGGTCTCAGCCGCCGGGTCACGGCTGGTCATTACCGGCCATTTGCCGGCAATTAGCGGCAATCGCTAACAGAGAGCAGGGCTGCATTGCTTACACACAGCCCTGCTCTGTCAGTTGCCTGTCAGCTCCTGACAAGCTGAACCGGAGAGAAAAGAGTTTATCTCTCCAGATCAGCCTGTCCCGGTCCAGCACACACCCCTGCCCCCTAGTAAAACACTCCCCTCACACAGTTAACCCTTTCAGTGAATAAAAATGTTAACTCCTTCCTCCCCAATGCCATTAGTACAGTGTCAGTGTTTTTTTTTTTTTTTCACTGATCACCTACGCTTACCCCCCCCCCCCCCCCCTTCTCCCCCAGCAAGTGCAGTGTCAGTAGGTCACTGTCACTTGATACATAGCACACAAAACCGCAGTGTTTACAGAATCAGGCCTGATCTCTGTTAGCACTTGCCAGTAAATTTTGATGACTCTCATATGCAGCAGAGTGCCAGTACTAGTGCCACAATACTTTTTTGGATAACTGGAGTACCAACGGTCTAGTACATCCTGGTCTTTCACATACCTCCTTGATTTTTGGAGCTGTTTTTCACAGAATACCTGTATGCGTTGATTGTGGATCAAAGCAAGTTATATGCACAACAATTTATCGCCACCAACCCAAATTCAATCCTTGCCAGACCATTCGCATGGAAACTCATTACGGTTTTCAAATTTACATTTTTTTGGGCCTAACCCTCAACACGGGCATTACGAAAAGAAATTAATTGCGGTTGTGTTGGTCTGCAGACCCGATTCATCATATGCCGTGTTCTCTGCTGCCATGGCCAGGCATAGATATGAGAGTATAATGTGTTTTATGCATTTCAGCGACAATACACTTGTCATCTTCGGGGTGACCCTGAATTTGACCGGTTCCACAAAATTCAGCCCCTCGCAAATTACTTTAACTTAAAAATTTGCAGATGTCTATACTCCCCAGCAAAAACATCTGCGTTGAGGAGTCCCTCATTCATTTTTCTGGCCACCTTGCATTCAAACAATTTCTCCCCTGCAAGTGTGCCAGATATGGGGTCAAGATGTAGAAGACCTGTGAGAGGGCAACAGGCTATACTTATAAGTTTCGGATTTACGAGGGAAAAGATAGTCACGTGGAGCCCCCCTGGATGCCCAGACTACATGGGGAGCAGTGGCAAGATAGTTTGGGACTTGGTGTCATCATTTCTCCATATAGGTTACCACTTATACGTGGACAATTTTTATTCAAGCGTGCCACTATTTAGACATTTGTTCAATCTTGGAACTGGTGCTTGTGGCAAAGTGTGACCTAATGTGTGCCCACCATTAGAAGTGGGTGGATGCAGGGTGGTATATCCTAATGGTGGGCATACTACACACTTTTTCTGGCAGAGATTTCTTCTCATTTTTTCA